TGCTCTCATGGCTTTGGCCACTACTTGTCTGTACTTCTCAGGCCATACAACATGCTGTCACACCACGTAAAGCTGGAGTAAATCTTTAGCCCTAACAGGAGCTGTGCTGGTTATGCATAGCTGAGTCTGCGAGTGCAGTCAGAATCCCAAGTTCCAGGCTAGGTCCCAGTTCTGTGGCTTCTCATGACCTTCTTACCGTGTGTTTCTTCTTTCTCCCTCTCATGGAAAGTAAAATCTCCTATTGAAACCCCCAACCCACTGCCTTTCTGTTACTCAAGCAAGCAAAGCTAGTGCCAGCTCAGCCCAGAGCAGCTAAGTGATGTCTTTTTGGTAGAACTGTGTAGGACCCACAAGGTACTCATTTTGCACAGGCAAGAACAGCCAGAGAAGATCAGGTGCGAGGCAGTAACGCACTGCATTTGTAAATGCTTCTGGCAAATTTCTTCAATTCTTGCACTGTTGTTGACTGAGAGACAAATCGGAGCAGAGCTGTTTAACAGAGTGCCCAGTAAACCACCCACAGCAGGTCCCTGCAGAGAGGTGATGCACAACAGGACACTTTCACCTGTATCTTCTAGTTGTGCTGCTCACGCGACCGGGCTTGGCCGGAATCCTTTGCAAGTACACGGGGAAATGGCCCAAGGTGCTGTGCCCTGCCTCTCCGGGCAGCCCCAGGAAGGGAGCCGAGGTGGGAGGATTTCTGCCCTGTCAGCACTGCCGTGGAGCAGGGCAGGAGGGAAGTGAGAGCTGGAGCCCTCCAGAGGCCTCTTGGCACTGCTGGCCGCTCTCGACACCCCAGCCCTTGGCACTCGAGGGGTGTTTGGGGCTCCTCTCCACTGGACAGGCAAGAGCAGCGCCCCTCTGCTCAGCCTGACCGGTGTGTTCACTGGCACTTGATCACACTGCGGCCTCTCCAGCTTGACCCCAAAATTTGCCAGCATGCTTAAAATAGGGACTGGCTCATCCCAGCTGCCATAGCCATCAGCCCCTGTCATCCTAGCCCTTTATCTCCTTCCTTGTTCATATAAACAGCCTGGAATGAGAACATGTGGGTCTGCAGTAAAGCACTGGTGCAGAAGTGCTCTGCTGCTGTTACAGTACAAATGTCCCTTGCTGATGCTGGGAGCAGGAATAGCAGCACTGCTACCCACTGACACAGCAACTAATGCAGAGAGAGAAGCTAACATGGTTTAAAAGGAAGGTGTCCCCATGATATTCCCCAAAAGGCCAATGGCTGCTCCAGGCCACATGCTCAGTGCTCAGCCCTGGATGGGAAGGGGATTGCTGAGTACCTCCCCCAGTCCTCCTTGTGAAAAGGGGACCAGTGGCCAGGCCAGGACTGAAAATAGCCTGTCAATATTCCTGGCATTTAGCTGCCCCCAGGTTTACAAATCCCTCCCCAGGAAGGTATAAATCTGGTTCATGGGGCAGAAGGAGACACATTATTTGCAGCTTCCCTTCAGCGACAAACCCCAAGCTTGCTGCGTGTGCCAGGGAGGAGAGCAAGGGGCTTGAAGGCAGAGGAGGATTCTGCAGCGACAGGGGCAGCAAGGCACAGAAGGGGCAGGAGTTAATCCGCAGGGTGCTGCCTGCCAGGCACTGGGCAGCCTCTCGATGGAGCCCACCACAGGGCTGCCAGTTTGTACGACTTCCAGCACGGGGCTGTGGAGACCTTTAGAGACAACCAGAGCCCTCGTGTCCCACGGCGAGGGCAGCACGGAGCGCTGAGAGGCCGCGGGCCGGGCTCGCTGCCCGCCCTGAAGGTCGGGCTGCCCTCGGCGCAGCCGCCTGCTCCCCGTACCCAAAAGATGCCCCCTCCCGGGCGCCCGGCCGCCACACGCGCCTTTTGCTTAGGCTGCGAGCAGGAAGAGAGGCTGCTCCTGGCAGCTCTTCTGAAGACCTGCCAAAGGATGGGAAAGTGGCTTTGTGAAGAGAAATCCCTCCTTCTTCCTGTAGCAGATCCTTGGGGCACTTTTTTGTGCGAGTCAGGAGCAGCACAGAGGGACGCTGAGAAGGGCAGCCCTGGATTGGCCCAGGAGACTGCACGGTCTCCGCTGGGGCAGATAGGAGGGATCCCCTTCTTCCTTTGGAGAGGAAACCCCCACAGATCCCTCATCCTCTCAAGGACCTGCTGCACTTTCCATTCCTTGCCTAGTGGACGGGCTCCTTCCCTGTGACACAGCAGGGCTCCCCTGGAAGGGCTCTCCTGCCTGGATTTCAGCTGCCTTGAGGGAATCCCAATTTCAGGGTCTTATTCATTTGTGCTATTGAAAATATAAATCAATATAAACCTAAATGATCCTATTGAATCAGGCAGGAGCGAACGAGGCGGAAACAGCTGAGAGGAGAATAAAAGGAAAAGGTTAAGGGCAACAGATGAAGAGAAAAGGAAGAAGAAAAGTTGTTGAAAGAAAAGGCAGCGCTCAGAGAGACTCAGAGGGCCAGTGCTGGGAAGAGGTGTTAGCAGATTTTTCCCTGTTAAGTCCTGGAGAGACAAAAGGACACAGTGATTATTGGACGTGTCGTGGGGGACTATGGCCCAGCTTTTGGGAACAGAATGCAGGGGAGGAGGGGGCAGGCGCAGCGCGGCAGCATCTGTCCTGCACTATGCACTATATTTAGTCAGCGGTATGTGGAGGGTGAGCACACGCTGGGATGCTAAGAATAGAGTAATCCTGATTATAACTCAGTGGCTTCATTCTTGCCTCAATACAGCACAGGCAACCTGTCTGGAAACTCTGCAAACACCCTCCCAGCTGGGCAGCCCCTCTTCTTCCTAAGAAAGGAAACCTGTTGTGGGCACTCAGTAGTGGCTTGCAGTGCCTTTCAGAAAAAAAGCTGTAGTAGGTTCATGCCTTTTTCCTCGTTGCCTCCCCAAGGTGTCTCACACCTCCTCTCAGCAGCAGAGTTTAATCTCTAAGGTAGGAAAACAAATTACATTATCTGCCTTCACCCTAACCTCCTAATGCATCTTTCCAACAACAGTCTAGCAAACAGGCCAAGCCAGAGTTGTGGAGAGACCACAACTGCTCTCTGCATCCAATGCTTCTACTCTCTGTCTGTGTCTCACATCACGGAACTGCTCCCTTCTCGCAGCACCTACAAGGGTGCTCCATAGTAACCTGGGGTGTTTAACTTTCATTAAGGTTTCATTTCACAGCCTTACATAAAATGTAGTCCTGCCATGGGGTTCTACTAGAGATAAGAACTTCCCTATTGTACCATAAAGCGGTTATAAAGCATTACCAAAGGGGAGTGAAATCAGGTAGGAACTTAAGAGCCAACCACCATTTGGGTCAGCTTCTCCCACGGCTTCCTGCTCAGCCCACCACGAAGTGGTTGGTGTAGTTCATAGCTGCTTGAGCAGAAGCACAGCCCACCAGCTCTTCTCTCTCAACATCTGTTCACATCATTTTGGTTAATGGAGCAGATTGTTTTCCCTCCAAGACTAGCATCTAATCTGCCCCTGTGCAAGGAAAATGCCCTTATGGTTTAAACACTGGAGTGGCATTCAGGAGACCTGGATGGTTTTTTGTGTGACCTTGGAGGAAATGTTAAAACTGTGTGCCAAAGATAACAGGAGTCACAAAATCAGGAAGATTTTCAATAGCCTTTTGCTCTCACTCTTAAATTTTATATGTCTCAGCTGCCCACCAGAATGCAGATCCCCAGAAAGATACTTTTTTTGACTATTAAGAGTGTGAACAATGTCACATCTCATAGCAATTTTACATGAGATATTTACTCCATTATATTGTAATTACACTAACCATTACACTTCTTTAGTTCCAGTAACTTCTTGCCCAGACGCCTTTTTCTCACTTAAGAAGTGCTACTGGGTGACTGGCTTCTTGGTAAAGCAGGTCCAGTGTTCCTGGGGACCTATCTCACAGGTTATCTACAATGAGACTAGTTAGGGGGTGCTCATCTAGAGAGAAAGAGAGGGAACAGAAATTTTCTGGGACAGTAAATGAACAGAACAAGGGGAGGGTGGTGAAAGAAAAGATCTTGGGTAGAAGCAAAGATTTGAGTGTCTTCTGGGCCAGTGGAACTGGAGATAAAACCTGGTAGCAGCAGAAGATGCTGGTGCTGGCCAATCCACCCAGTGAGACAGACTCCTGTAATCCATCAGTACCTCAGTGCACTGGCAAGGGGGATGCTGCTAAGCTGGTGTTGGAAAGAGAGGAGAACAACTTCTCCAGTGTCCTGGACCTCGTTCCAGTTTGTACCAGGCATACAAAACAAATGAAAGCAATCGGGGTTGCTATTTCTCTCTGCTTTTTGAAAGCAAACACCTTCAAAAGAAAATTTTGCAGATAACAGCTGTGGTAGTGTGTGTGCAGGGGACAGAAAAACAACCCCAAATTATCCACCTTCTTTCTCTAAGCAAAAAACTAGCTACTAGGAGCAAACACCTAGCCAGAGTTGACTGTAGGTATGTGAAAAGAGACTTTATCTCCATGGCCTTTTATTACTTGATGTGAGAGTAGATGAAAAGGTAGTGAAGGGCAATGC